TCTGTGTGTTACAAAGACTCTTTGATAAGGGGTGAGAACTACACTTGTCTGTTGGTATAAGTATAAATATTTATAGTGTGAGGTTAGAGATTATGCTGTGTTAAGAAAGTGGCAGTTGTAGATTCTCTACGATTCATGACTTCATTAGCCACAGGCACCTGACTGGGTTACTTATATTTTCCAACACAGTATCTTGCTACACAACCAGGCAGATCTTGAGTTCTGGCAGTACAATCATGCACTAGCAAGCAAAATATTTTAAAAGTACAAGATACATTGAGAATCAGGAATGCCCCTGTAACAAGAAGAAAATTAGTATAAACATAAAAGGTAAATAAGCTTGAAGGCATAACCATAAAAATTCATGTAAAGTCGACGGGAGCAAAGGTGAAACATTAACAAAACCTTAGTGACCGCCCCATATCTCAGTCTCAAGAGAACTAACATATATGCAATTGGAGTCCTTGAAAGTGGGGAAGACAGAAATACTTTATAGTCAGTTTTCAGAAGTTTGATGGAAGTGAAAACCTAAGAGCTCTGAGAAGCTCAGTGAGTGTGAGGGTTTGTATGAAATGTCCTTCGTAAATCTCGGCATTTGAATCCTTAGTCCCTCGTGGATGACTCTTTGAGGGGATTAGGTGTGGCCTGCTGGAGGAAGTATGTCATTTGGGACAGGTTTTAAAACTCTCTGTGCCTCCTGCTCGTGGATCAAGATGTGGGCTCTCAGCTGCTGCTCCAGCTGCTGCCACCATTCCTCTACTCCTCCACAAATGACTCCTAGCTCTCCAGAACTGTATGCCCGTTTATAACAGTGACAAAAGTGTCACTAAGACACTAAGCCTGGTACAAACACTGGACTGGACAGTACCCACACAGTGGCACATCATGATGACCTCTCAGATCCAGTGATAAGAGACAACTTTAGGTTATCTACAAGAGAGGAGGAAAGTTTATAAGAAAAAGAAGTCATTCCAGCAGGCTTCTTGTCAAGAACTGTGTCAGACAGAACATAGTGGGATTTTTTTTAAGTTATGAAAGACAAGTTTTCAATCTAAACACTCTTTATCTACCAAAAATGTGCTTTCAAAGATAAAAGCAAACTTTTTAAAACTTTTTTTACAGATTAAGAAAAAAGTGAAAAAAATTCTTGTCAGGAGATCTGAGCTATGTCAAAAGAAGCTCTTAGGGTGGAGCAGAGAGTGGGTACTAACATAATGAAGCATATGTGGCAAAGTCGTGAAGACAACCAGAAACAGTAAATGCATAGGTTAATGTAAAAAACATATCTTCTCATTTTTAATTTTTATTAATATAACCAAGTACTCAAGTAAAAATAGTTACAATATATTATGTATTGTTGTATAAACAGAAGTAAAATATATGACAGCAGGTTCACAAAGCATAGCATGCTTCATTGGTTTTTATGTTCTATAGAAATGTTGAAATGTCTGTGATGTTGTTGACTGTGGACAGTATCAAATCAAAGATAAATATTGTTGACTCAGAAACCACCAGAGGAGAAAGAAGACAGGGCCATACACTAGGCAAGCAGTACTGAGTGTTCTGAGTGTTTTCGAGGAGGAGTAAAAGAAGCACATACAGCCAGGTGGCGGCAGTGCACACCTCAGTCCCAGCACTTAGGAGGCAGAGGCAGGCAGACAGATCACTGAGTTTGGAGTCTAGCCTGGTTCCAGGATCTAGAGAGTGAGTTCCGGGACAGCCAGGGCTACACAGAGAAACCCTGTCTTGAAGAACCAAAAAAAGAAGGAGGAAGAAGAAGAAGAAGGAAAAAGAGGAAAGAAAAAGAAGCAGTAGTATACACAAAGCAAAACAAAAGCAAAAAACATGCCTGGGTCCGTGGAGTTGGGTGTGTGGGCAAGTCCTCTAAGCATGAGTATATGAAATATACTCCAGATTGGAACCACATTACACATCCAAATATCCCAATAAGTCGTTAATTACTTCTGTATACTACCTATAAAAATTTCACTGTGTGTATGTGGTATGTATATTTGTTTGTACATATGTTTGTTGTATGTGCATGCACATGGAGGCCGGTTGAGTATCTTTCCTCAGTGACTTTTTTTAAAGGTCTTTTTAAATGTATGTGTGTGTTTACCTGTATGTATGTCTATATAATTGTGTGATACAGTTCTCAAAGAGGTCATATTGGATCCGCTGGAACTAGAGTTATGAACAGTTGTAAGTTACCATGTGAGTGCTAGGAATCAAATCCAGGTCCTCTGGAAGAGCAGCCAGTGCTTTTAACTGCTGAACCCTCTCTCTAGCCCCCACCTAATTTTTTTTTCAGGCAGGGCTGTCACTGAACCTGAAGCTCACTAATTCAGCTATACCAACTGGCCAGTGAGCTCCAGAGAGTCACCAGTCTCTGCCACAGTCCCTGGACTGCAGTTACAGATGCCTGTTATCACATGTGACTTTACTTAGGTCCTGGGTATCCAAACTTTAATGATGCTTGCTTATGGAGCCATTTCCCCAG